AACCTTAACCCTAAACCTAAACCTAACCCTTACCTTTATGTGAATCGGCTTGCTTTAATTTTATTTTTATTTCAATTTTTTTTTCCGTCGCGCTGTGATGACGTCAAACGCGCGCTTTCGTCGATCGCGCTTTTGTGGACCGCGGTTTTGACGGGTCACGGTGATCCCCATTTTCTGTTCAGGAGCTCAAGCCATGCAATCCCCATCCACCATTAAACCATCTTTCCAAGCAGCCTCCATGTTTCTAGGGTCTTTCCCCCCCACTTGGAACATTTCTTCCAACACTACTTTAAACATTTTTGGGGTGGGGGGGGAGGATGCTGTTTCCCAAGGAGAGAGAACCAGTATTGTAGCGAGGTATGAATCAGAATTCGGGGATGGGGGAGATAAAGTGTGTTGTTGTTGTTTTCCTTTCAATGCATTTTCTAACGTTTTGTTTTGTTTTTAAGTTTTTGGAGCCTTGCCTTTTAACTTTCTTTTGAATAAAATAAAAATAGAGGTTAACCGGGGTGGTGGGTGGTGGGCAAGATACCTGTCTACCTCTAGAGAAGAGACCATGAAGGTGCTTGCATCTCCTGGGTACACCAGGAGATGATAATATTCCTTAAATGATGCTTTTGGGGGAGACGCACCCGCCTTTGAAGCGAAAGATTTGATGGCAAAACACCCTTTTTTGCAAGGTTGGCGGGGGTTCAGCAGGGCACCATTCAAGGATTCGGCATGGCATGGAATGCCGTAACCCAAAAAAAATCTTTAAAAATCTAGACAATTTCCCTTCCTTGTCAGCTCTCCTGCTACAAGTGCCAAAGAATCTTTTATTCCTCTTCCTTCCCTTCCCCTCGACTATTTTTTTTTTTTGTGAACAAGGCAGGTGTTTTCTTAGAAGAAGGAAAAAAAAATCCTGTACATTTAGTTTTGCTTGCACCCAAAGACGGAACTTGTTTGGGGTTCTTTGGACAGAGAGGAATTGGTGTGTGAATTATGCATGTGCGTGAGTCAGTGTGTTCTAGACACCTCTAATGATGGGTGTAGCGTCATTCCCCTCGTTAGTGCATTCCACAGTGGTTTGCACGAGCAAAGGTGCCTTTGTCTGGGTTAGCCTAACCTTTCCTGAGTCTCTTTTGCTCAAAAGACCGGCGGCGTCTTGGTATGGGGTCCAACTGCTTTGTTGTGTCCCAGCAGGATCTCTGCAAAAAGGATCTGTTCGGCTTCCTTGAATGTGCGCTGACCCTGAACATGATACACGGGTCAACCTCAGTGCATTGTGCATTTACATACAGAGGGTATGGTTCATTCTGTTTTATTGGGAGCAGGGGACGAGATCAACACCACAGCCAGGAGTCCATTATATTGAAAACCTGCACCCTTTACCTCGTCAAATGCCTCACTGAAGTCCAAGTAAATGATATCGACAGGATTCCTCTGGTCCACTAATTTTGTCACCCTAATGTTTTGGAGTCCAGCGAGAAAGACGAAATGGTAGCAGCCTTCCCGTAACTCAAACCATGCAGTCTAAGAGCAACCGAAAATTAGATTCTGTCTGACGTGAGTCAAAACACAAACAAGCAGCTCTCCCCTTTTCATCCTTCCTCACCGCCAGCACTTTCTCAGGGGTTTACAAAACATTCCTTCTGCTTGGAAGAGATCCATCAATCTCCCTACATTCCCAGGGGTGCTGTTCTTCCTACTGCAGCTTTCGGTCCTGCCAATGGACCATTCCTTGTTCCATTCACCTCCTTGGAGGTAGAAAAACAGCAGGCTCCTCTTTCTCAAGCATCCTCTCCGACACGGCATGCCGATGTTTCCCAAGGCTGGCCTCCAAGTTTTTCCCCCTTTGCCTTCTTCTTTTCAGACCCATCTCTCCCATTTTTCCCCCCAAAGGCAAGAAAGGGCTGCTCCTTGGAGAGTTTCCGTTAAATTATTTAACTTCCACAAGCTGCTCAGCAACCTGAATGTCTATTTCTGTCTGTCAAGCAAAAAACTAGGTCATTTACTGTTTGCCATTCCAATCAAACAACTGCAGGGATTTAGCCTGCCATCGCTGAGATACCATGGCCCCCCCCAAAAAAACCTGGATCTCTTTCCGCATTTCTTACACCCCCAAAGAGTTTGCCCAAGAGGAGAGATAAAGATGGAGCGATCCAAGCAACCCTCTTGAAAAGATAAGAGCTTTAGCAGAGTTCTCAGCAAGATTCTGTCTGGCAGCTCCGTGAGAATCGTTATCGACGGAGAAATCGCAGTAGGATTCTTGCGCTGCTACCAACTAGCCTCCAGATCATCCTAGATCTTTGCCAGCAAGAGATTCAAAGCCAGATGCTTCCATTTTAATACATGTATGTATTTATTCATTGAGTTTTGTTCACCAATACAGTGAAAAATGGCATTAAAATTTACAATGGGTCATTCCTAGAATGTCATGACATTTTTTTCTTGTCTTTTTATTTTTTATTTTTTTGCTTGTCTTCATAAAATGTCATTGTATATTCTTGAAAAGATCTTTTTTTTGTTTCCATGCACAACAGACAATAAGCTTCTTTAAAAAAAATAAATTAAACTAAAGTACAAAATTAAAAACAGCTCTGAATATTCCCCTCTTAAGAAAGAGGCATCATATAACCAGCAAGTTATCTGGACACATTCATAAACAGTGCAATGTTATTATTATTTTTTTCTAAATTCGTCAAAGTCCCATCAACTAAGCCATGACCACAGTATAAGATTCATTAAGTACATTTCTTGTCAACAATGAGTGCAAAACACATTCAGTAAGTCCTGTTCAATACTGATATAATTAAAGGAGCCAACTTTTTTCAATATCTCTGCCTTCCTATGAGAAACCCACCATATAAATCTTGTCTGCCTTTCCTTTTAATGGAAACAAAATACAAACAATCTTTTGATGCAACGTTTTAACATTAGACATTAGCAGATTGTTGTTAACAAATATTCAGATATAAAAATACAAATATGAAGAGTTTTCTGTTAAAAAGAAGCGTGCCATAGTGGGATGACCAGTGGCACCAAGACGTGGCACCGAGACCAGGAAGCTCATGCAAAAAAGATGGAGCAAAAATGTCTCTGGACAGCAAAATAATCACTGTCTTTTATACTATAGTCCATCCATATCAGAATCTTTTTTTTTTTTTGTCTTCTTCCACTCAGCACTGCTGGCTTTTGAGTTTGCTTCCAAACTGCTGGTATTTTGCAAACAGATTTTAAATTATTATTATTTATTTTTTACAAGGGGTGGGGGGAATAAGGGATGAAGGAGTTGAACTCTAATGAAGCGGTTGACCAGTGTGGACTTATTATACAAACACAATGAAACCGATTATAGTTAAAGAGAGTACAGTGTGGATCTGGTATTTGTCATCTGGGTAGGTACCGATGCCTAGGCAAGATGTCAGCTATGCAGCCACCCCACCCCCACCCCCAGAAAGTGAAAGGCTTAAAGTGCATTGCCCCCCCCCTCTATTTTTAAAAATTAAGAGCACTAGGCGATCCTGTGGCTCAGCACCGTCATATCGTGGCATGGGGGTTCACCCAAGACCAGGAGGGGACACCAACTGCTGTTGTTGTGAAGCGGAAGAGTGTGTCTGTCTGTCTGTCTCTGTGTGTGTGTGTGTCAGTGAGGGGGGAGGGGAGGAAGAAAGGGAAACGATGCTAAGGACAAGACAAAAAAATATAAGCCCAAAATCGCTGCGGTGGACGGTTCCGCAGGCAGTGCATTCAAGCGGGGCTGGGGGGGCTTTGAAACGAACGGCGCCCCCCCCTCACATCTGCAGGCGCGTTAAGGAAACGGGGTTGGCGCGAGCGGCGCGGGGCGCCAACGGTGCTGAAATGGACAGCTCCTTTCAAAAGGCGCAAGAGCGCCATTCAGCGCCCGCCCGCCTGTCCTTCCCCACCCCACCCCAGGAACAGGAGGCTTCTTCCTTAGGAGGGTCGTTTTAAACTCCGGGATTGGGCATCATCATCGTCCCGTGTGTGTGTGGCTCAACGGGGACAACGTTGGGATGGCAAGGTCTCGGCGTCCCGCGGCGCTCCGTGGAAGGCGGAGGAGGGGGGAGAGAGAGATAGAGATGACGGTGTGTCCCCCCCCCCCGCCATCAGTTCCTTCTTCGGGCTGGGGTCGCGTTGAGAGGTGGAGGGTGTTGCCAGCAGCCTCATCTTCTTCCGTGCTTTTCTGGTTTGTCCACAATCCCAACAAACATGCACAGCCAAAAGTGCTTTTTTTAAAAAAATTCGGGGGGAAATCCGCTGCAGCTGGTGCAGAGGCGCTGCGGTGCCCGCTTTATACCCCGGACGGCGACTTCCCGGCCATGCCCTTCAGCACCTCGTCTATTCGATCGTCTTCGATGACCACTGCAGGGGGAAGGGGGGGAAAGGAAGGGAGGACAAACCCAACACGCGCCGTCAGGACGGGAGGCGTCGGGTCCCCCCCCACCCGGCCTTTTAGCCCCGGGGATTGGGGGGGGGGGGTTGGTTAGATGGGCAGCTTCGGCTCCGGGAGGCTCAGATTACGACTCTCCCCCCTTCCCTCCATCCACCCCCCCCTCTTGCGCCCATCAACGGAATTCCCGCTGGCCATAAAGCCCCTCCGGGAAACAACGGCCCCTCCTCGGCCCTTTTCCACGGGAGGGAAAGAGACGCGGGTCGGAGCGCTCCAGTGACCCGCGTTGGGGAACAGACGGCTGGGCTTCTTTTTTTGGGGTTTGGGGGGGGAGCGAGAATTCCTGCGCCAAAGAGGCCTGGTGGAGGGGAGGGGGAATCAAACAGCCGCGATCGTGGGAATCTCAAAGCGGGGCGCGATGGGGAGAGCTTATTGGGGGGGGCGGGAGGTGGGGAAGAAACGCAGCGCCATCCAGCCACCCCCCCCTCCCGCTTTTCTGCGGCAGGATCCACCTGCGGGTGGGAAAATTTACAGCGGCAGCCGAGTTGGGGGTGTGGGGGGGGGCGAGGGGGAATCTCAGCCAAGGGAGCTACGGTGGAGAGAGGGGGGGGGGCGCACATCCATTCAAACCCCCCTCCCTAGGAATCGCGGAGCAGAGAGCTCCCCGTCCTGCAGCTGACAACCAAAGGGAAAAAGCGGCGGCGAAGGATGGAGAATTGCGGGGCTGGGCGGGGAGCAAGAGGATGGTTGTTTTGCGGGCGATGTCCCGGGAGGACGCGCGGGCCGACTCACCTCGCTTGGCTCGTCCGATCTGTCCTAACTTGGGGGGCCGCTTGGATTGGTTGCCCCAGGAGTTGGTGTCCTGGAGGCGGCAGCTGAAGGAGATGTCGCCCACCTCCGAGTCGGTGCCATAGCGGGCCACTTTCTCGTCGTTGTAGGGCAGGATCTCAGACATGGTGGCGGGGCGCGGGGTTTCGGAGAGTTGGGAGGGGAAGGCGAGGAGAGGCCGAGTAAAGCAGGCGGCGGCGGCGGCGGCGGGAGGAAGCTGGCAACCGGGTGCCTCTGCCGGGCGTTGTGGAGCGAGAGAAGAGCTGGCCAGAGTGGGCGGGCGATGGGCTCCGAGAGGCAGCGCGGTTCCAGCCGGGGCGGGCAGGTAGGCAGGTAGGCAGGCAGGCGTGGGGGGGGAAGAGAAGCGCGTGCGACGTCCAACAGCCTCGATCAGCGTCTGAGCCCAGCGCTTGGGACAACCCTACATCATAAAGGAAACCCGGGGCGGAAGGATGAAGTCATGCATCCGGGGGCCGCGGACGAGGGGGGGGGGCTCGCGCGGGGAAGGTCTCCTCCTCCGGAGCCTTGCGTGCAGCCCAGGGGCGGGGACAACCGGGGGGAGGGGGAGGGAAAAGGGAGGGGGCGAGAGAGCGAGAGCGAGAGAAAGTGGTAGCAAAAGACCCCCCCCCTCCTCCTCCGGTTAGATCCGCCCACTTCTTGGCTCCGCCTCGTCTCCCGGAGGGAAGTCCTCTCGGATGGGGCGGGGGGACCCCCTTTGGCCCCCCGGGTTTGCAGGCATCCCTGCTTCTCTCTTCCCCTTTCGGCGGTCCCGCTCGGCAGGCGAAAACCCTGGGACACTCCGGAGAAGACCGAGGGGGGGGGGCGGTTCTTTGGGGCTCAGGCGATGGCTCCTGAGCATGGTCAGAAGACTTTCACTTCGCTGTTGGGCTTCTGGACAGATATAGGATAACTTGATTGTCACTTGGAAGGAGGGCTAATCGGCATATGTACAAATGAAATTCCTTGGCATGCAGCTCTCAAAGGGTCTCCACCTCCAATATACATTACATAGACATGACAAAATAAATTAAGAAGAGAATTAAAGGAGAGGAGAGAAGAAGAGAATTCTTTATTGGCCAAGCGTGATTGGACATGCAAAGAATTTGTCTTTGGTGGATATGCTGTCAGTGTACATAAGGAGAATAAAAATACATTTGTCAAGAATCATAAGGCACAACACTTCAGGATAGTCATAGGGTACAAATAAGCAATCAGGAAACAATCAATATAAATCGTAAAGATACAAGCAACAAGTTACAGTCCTTCAGTCCTAAGTGGGAGGAGATGGGTGATAGGAACGATGAGGAGACTAATAGTAGTAGTAATGCAGCCTTAGTGAATAGTTTGAGTGATGAAGGAATTATTTGTTTAGTAGAGTGGAAAAACTGTTCTTGTGTCTAGTTGTCTTTGTGTGCAGTGCTCTATGAACTACATGAACATGACTGACTAACTAACTAACTAACTAACTAACTAAATACATACATACATACATACATACATACATACATACATACATACATACATACATACATACA